CTGTTCATGAATAAATGTTGAACACAGGTTCATGTGTGTGCACACCTGTACACATCTGCCTCTCACTCACTCACTCACTCACTCACTCACTCACTCACTCACTCTCTCTCTCTCTCTGTCTTTTCAGCACAGCAGTGCACAAACCTCCCGCCCATGTACGGCAGGGTTGCTAGTGTGACGGCTCTGTTTGCAGTTCCTCTAGAAAGGCAGCAGGGTCTGGGGAGAAAGAAGGGAGGCAATGGGGGGTCCGGCTTAGGAGTATCTGTCCATCACCACCTCACACCCGTTGACGGGTGACGAATCAAAAAAGAAACATAGAAACGTCACTAACTAAAGATGACATGTGTTTGGCAAACATAACGCTATCGTGGTTAACGGGTTCGTCTGTAGTTGCCCGCGCTGTGATAGGATTCCACACAGCAGGGAAATGGATCGTGGTGAGCGGAGCTAACGTTAGCTTACATTAGAGCAGACAAACACTCCTTACCGTCGCTGTTGTAGGGGAGGCCTGTGGATTGAATGTTTTTTGGCATCGGCTTGTTGGTCGGACGAAACCTTTGGGTCTGATAACTTCAACTTCAACTTAATTGAAAAAAATAATTAACCGATAAGTCGTCAATAGCTTAGCTGCAGCCCTAGAGGAGACGATGACTGCTTTGATAATGTTTTTTTTTAACTTTGTGTAGGGATTGAAAACGCTGAAATGAAATGATAACATTTTTTTTTTAGAAGAACTACCTGAAACCATTTCAAATCCTCTGCCGGTCCCTTGAGCCCACTTTGGAATCCAGCGTCCTATTCAACACTGGCACAAAACCTCCAGTTATTGCTTGGACGGGGACTTTCTCTCGTCCGTAAGGGCCTCTGCTGTTCCTCCCCCTCCGCACTGATCACTACCATATGGGCTGGAAGTGCTCCGCATACTGCGCACCGCACCATGAGTGATCACTGATTAATGAGAGGGAGAGAAAAAGACTGAGAGGCAGAGGAAGAGACAGATGAAGGGGAAGAAAAATGGTTGGAGGAGGGCGAGGCGGTGAGGCGGAGAGTTCTAAATTGAGTGGAGGAAGAAAAAAGAAGCTGAAATTTGAAGACATGGAAAAGGAAAGAGGAAGGATGGAGATGCGGCCGGGATGCTCTCCAGAGCCCCCTCCATCCATCCTTCCTTCCTTCCGTCCAGGCCCAGCTGCACTCCTCCTCGAACAAACCCTCGGGTCATCCCTCAGTCCCAGTATACCTCTCCTCCTATCTCCCCCCCCGGCCTCTGGATTCCACGCTCCACAACATTTATCTGGTTCTGCTCGCATGTTTTGTTTCAGCTTCACAGGATTTATCATCCTCCCCCGCTTTTGGAAAAACAGCTGACTCTGGCCTTTCCAGAGCGCCGCTTTATTTGTCGGGATGGTTTCCAGCCAAGAAGGGTAAACGTGTCGATTTAGAGAGAGAGGGAGAGAGAGAGAAGAAGTCAGAGAAAAGAAATACCACGGCAATGAGTCAGTTGCTAATGAATCTATTCTAATCACAGTCAAAAGTCAAAAGTCAAAAGTGTGTGGCGGCGTGTCTGTCCTAAGGGAAACAAATGGTCCCGTATAGAAAGCAGCTGATTGAGAGAGTCTGAGCAGCTCTCTGTGGTTTCACAGGGAACTATGGGAGGGAATGTACACCAGGCCAAGAAAACACCCCTGAGATTATCATGAAATCACCCTCATAACTTGTGCGTCCGTGGCTAAAACAGAGGCGGTTTTAGCCACGGCGGTTCGATCCCCGGCTCCGGCTCAGCTAGTCGCATGTCGATGTGTCCTTGAGCAAAACACTTAACCCCAAAAGTTGCTCCCGTAGCTGCGCCTATGGTGTGATTGAATCTGCATTGTAAGTCGCTTTGGATAAAAGCGTCTGCTAAATGACTGTAATGTAATGTAAAAATGAATGGATACTGGAAGGAAACAGCAAAGTGCTATTATATAAATAAATAATATATATTTAATTTATCTATATCATAGCATATTATTATATTAATTCTAGTCTTCTCCATTTTTTTCTGTGCTCAGAAGACAGGAAAAGAAACAATAATAATATATGTTAGAAGTATGTATGTATGTATGTATGTATGTATGTATGTGGAATTCAATTGGAAATATTGGTTCATGTTCATGTGTTCATACTAGGAAGTCGATTAACCTGAAACAACACCACTGAGTTACAGTGGACTTTTTCTCCATTTAGGTCTATGGGGAAAATATAACTCCACCGTACGATCTGCTCCGTGACAATATGTAACACACTGTGATCGTCCACAAACAGTGCACTCAGCTGAACTCCCCACCCATTTCCTGGGCTCATCAGAAACAGAGGATGAGATTTCAGTCACCCCGCTTTGTTTCTATCTTTAGAAGGTTGGCTTGTTATGTAACTATGGGCCCCATCAGCAGTGAAATTATCACAATTTCCACCCACAGTGGTGATGCAGCGAGTCAGTACAATCAGGGAACGTAGTGAAGGGAGTCCCGCTTCTCTGTTATTTATCTCGTGGTCACAAATAAGAAGGTAATCCAAACTTTGTCGTGGCACCACAGGACCCAAAACACATGAATCTAACAGCCGAGCACTGACATACGGTGTCAACATCTTTCTGCCGTTGGCCTCCTGCGCCCTGTTTATCTCTCTCTGCCTCCTCTCCCCCGCACACCCACACCCTGCCACCGCCAGGATGTGACATCACGGCGCCCCCCCCCGGAGTTGTTCTGTTCCTCTTTGAAGTCGGAGCCGGTCTGAACTCTGAATCCTCATTAACATTAATGAAGGCGATGGAAATATTCTCATCTCATATCCCATTCTCCGTTGCTATTCTCAGATCTGCAGATATTTTTCACATCTGTCTGTGTCTTTCTGCTCCATTAGAGACCGTTTAACACGTATTTCTAGAACTGGACGAGGAGCCGAGAGGTATCTGCTGTATCTGTGAAGCTTGAAAATAAAGCTTCAAAGCGTGACGTTGGTAGATTTAGTCTGTGTCGTATTAAAGGTGCTCAGTTTTAAAGTCAGAGCATTATCTATGTAGAGATGGATTAGTAATGTATTGCTGAGCAGAGAATGAAGTCACTCTCCCTCTGTGTGTGTGTGTGTGTGTGTTGTAATCCAGGCTTCTCTGTGCTTTGTTTACGTAGTATGCACGCTAGTTCATGCGAGTCCCAGTTAGCATACACAGCGTCGTGGAAGCGTTCCCCCTCAAGTAAACACCGTTAGCTCGGCGGTTGCGTGGCCTGTTATTCGCGGTAGTTTTATTCACATATTTTCTCCCCACCCACTTTCCGCTAACACCCGCCCTTCTGTCCCTACGATTGGCTAGTACTCGTTGCCTTCTTCTCAGAATTTGTTAAATTTGTATAGCTGATGAAAAGCATTGGTTGAAGGTTGGTAGGGTTAATGATTTCTGAGGTTTTCATGAGGACGGATGCCTTCTTGTAGAAGGATTACGGTGATCAGAAATGTTTTTTTTAAATGTTGCTTTGCAGGTTGCCCATATGGACGGAATATATTAACAGATCCGTTGGAGATTTAAAGATTGCCAACTTGTGGTCAGATACACAGCCCAGAAATGCACCTTATTTCCGAACTGTATGTAGCCGTCAGCGAGGCCAGAACTAAAGAAAAGCCTTTTTTTGGGAGAAACACCGGGAACCCCAGTTTAAAGTGTAGATGTATAAGTGGCACTTTGTGCAGACGCGCTGATAGCAGGCAGCGCTGTTGTCTCCGTGGAGAGAGCGGCTGACGTGTTCAGTGGAAGAGTGAACAAGCAGGAGAGGAGGGTCAACAGGACTAGATTACACCGGTGCTCTGACATCGCATCCCTGAAGTAGCCGCGGGGCAAACGCAGCAGCACGTAACGCGCACCAATCTCAGCGGGAACGTTAATGACGCTGCCATTAACGTCAATGGAAGATAATTGTACACTTTATTTCCCCTGTAATGTGTTCTGTGGGCATTCTTCCTTCTCAAAACACTTCGAGGTGGTTCCTGTTGGCTTTCAGCTCGCAGCGGTTCTAAAGAAGTGGAGCCCCGGGGCCTCTTATAATCACACCACAGTACATCCACCACACAAGAATGCGCCATTGTGCACTGATATGTTTGGTTTGTGATTTTACTCCGTGGTTAAGAGAACGCACCGTCATCCCGTCTGACCGCAGTCAACAAAACACGCAGCAATGCGATCGTTAATTTTAATTTTTTTTCTTAAATTCTACCGCTCGCATGGGATTGTTTTAAAGCGCCTTTTCTGATTGGCTGCGTGCAATCAAGAGAGCCACGCAGACCCCAACCGGGCTGTAGAGGAGGAGTAAAAATCATACAGATTAAATCCCTCCTTTAGAGAACTGTGAAGTGTTTTCCTTCTGCCTATTGTAGGCTCACACATAGGTCAGTGTCTCTGGTGAACAAGGGCTAAACAACCTTTAAAGTCACTGCCCCCGGGTCAAGAAGTAACTCAACTGCTACGTCAGGCTCAGAGATCACTTTTTTAATATCAGCTTTGTCACAGAGCATGCATGAAACGGACATTACCACACACGATGTGTAGTTATGAATGAATTATCCTGCATTGAATTATTTCTTTTTTTCCTCCTCTCCATTTCCAGCGCCGGTGTGTTTCTGCTCACACCTAGCCAGTTGTTAGCGATAGGAGCGGAGGTGTCAATGCAGCCTGGAAGAGAGTTTAGCTTCTGTTGTCGTGAGGAGTCGCATAAGCAGAGGTGTGAACATCTGAGAACCGAATGTGTTTGTATGGATGCGTTCCAACAGGTTCTCACGCATCAAGCGCTCGTCCAGTGGCCCCTACGCTTCAGACCGTGATGCTCTACGTACCCCCTCTAGCGTCAGTTTGGGAGGTGTCGGGGACGGCACCACTGGATCAGCCAGCCATAGTACTCCATGTTCTTTTGGGGGGGGGGGATGTTTGACCATCAGATCAGGTTGCTTGATCGTTTCCTGTCTTTGTGTTCCTGCAGTGAACAGAGTATCTGCCAGGCGCGAGCCGCCGTCATGGTGTACGACGACGCCAACAAGAAGTGGGTCCCGGCCGGTGGTTCCACGGGCTTCAGCAGAGTCCACATCTACCACCACACGGGCAACAACGCCTTCCGCGTGGTGGGACGCAAGATCCAAGACCATCAGGTCAGTCTGACCGAACACACACGGAACCCTCATTCAGTCAGTGCAAGAAGTCAGCTGGGCTAATGCTCTTCTTTACAGTGGAAGAGCAAAGTCACGTTGAAGATCAGCTGTTTTATATTGTTGTTTACTTATTTTCTGAAGGAAACATACATCTATTTTTTTTTACGTATCACAATCACAAATGTATCTAAAGCCGAACCCACCACCACAAATAGAACTGCTGTCACTCTTCTAAAACACAGATTAACACCACACATATAATGTTTTATATGTGTGGGACACACCTGTCACAGAGTGCACTATTGCAGGATGTGGTTACCAGATATGAGATATATATATATATATATATATAT